TTTACTTCTCAACTACTCGTTTCCCTCCTCCACTAATACCAGGCATATACTAGCCCACACCACCACCACCACCACCACCACCACCACCACCACCACTACCTACTACTATTATTACTTCACCACCGCTACCACCATCATCACCACCACTACACTCACTACTCTACTACTACTATTACTTCGCTACCGCCACCACTACCTCCACCTCCACCACCTCCTCCTTCTCCTCCTGCTCGTCGCCCTCTCGCGACGACCACTACCCTTCCGGCGACGCGACGACGACATTCGGCCTCATACCACGTTCGCATTGGCGTCCACCCTGCTTTTTTTCCCCACCGAAGGTTCGAGAAGAGCGAGGCCGATTTTTGCCGACCAATCACGAACGATCTTTGATAGGCAACTACGACAAAGCTTCACTCATCCAATGGAATTTCAAAACGTTTCCCTTTTTATTCGATTACTAACTATCTAGTTTCTCTCGGATGTCGTTACAACTATGAGCTGCTATCGTACTTGTATTATACATGTTCCTTTCTTTAGAATATTGTTGCAACGATACAATGTTGTTAAGATATACGATCCAAGCAACAACTTCTTCGACCCACTATCAAACACAGCACCTCCACCTCCTCCACCACCACCACCACCACCACTATCTTTGCAATACGACTAAGAGTCGTGTAATATTGTGCTTATATCTTATCGGTAATCCCCTTATTGCTTGAATGTACATTCGAGTTTAGTAAATATGTATGTTCCTATAAATGGCAATGTGTTGGATGAGTTTCTCCGTATAAAAAGAGAAAGAGAAAGAGAGAAAGAAGGAAAGACCGTTATATCCTGTAAACAATGTTTCAAAAAGCATGAAGATATTCTGAGAAAGTCCAGGGAACTTATTCGAACGAGAATCATTCTTTTCCTCTATCTTTCTCTCTTTTCTAACATCCTCCTAATTTCCCGAGCAGATTTTTTTTCAGGGCAGCACGGAAGACAACGCTTGATGTGTTAATACGAATGCACCGTGTGAACCTTCATTCGCTCGATGTTGTATTAATGCGGGTGTGTTATTAACGGAGAAAGAATCAAACGGTTTATATAGTTGGTAGCATTGAAAGAGAGAAAGAGAGAAGCAGATTTCTGTGTGTGAGCGCGTGGTGCGCGCGTCTGATTCCATCAGGGCTACCCTCCTCTTACTACTACATCACTACTGGCTGTTACTACTATTCTCGACGTGTCTGTCTTATTCTCCTTGCTGCTATTATTTCCTTGAGAGGTTAATTAACGACGAATCAAGAGAGTCTAGATATCCTTGGGAAATGAATATGTTTCTCGTATAAATTATGAGATATTTATGTAATATGCAATTTATATATATAAATAAACTTATAGGAAAAGGTATTTACGAAAAGTTTCTAAATGGGAGTATATATCAAATGATAATATAGAAACGTGTAGTATCGAAATGAAGGCGTATCGTCGACAAACCTTCTCTTTGCTACGTTAATCGAAGGTTGTTCCATTCCGTTCCGAATGATCACCACCGTGGTTCGATTTAGAAGGAAACTTGGAAAGCAAGTAGGCTGGATCGAGAAAAAGAATGGCAAGAGGATACACGTTAAGGAATAATACTAGTCGGCCCTATCTATTATCCATACTATTTACGAATACATTGTAAAGGGACAGTCGAAAGATAAGAATAAAGTATCATTTAAATGCCATCGTGATTCGTCTTAAATTACACTTTTAATTACCATCATTTACGGTATTCTTACTAACGGAATCCCATCCGTCCACCACCATTGGCCATTAAGAAACTACCGATCGTTGGAAGAAAGAGAAACACGATTTTGGTATACCTTTAACGGTATATTCAAGCAAAACAGATACCTAAACATATCTCTGGCGAAGAAAAAGTACAAATCGCGGTTGGAGACCGATATTCGACGAAAGGATAAAGTCAGATATATAGATCTGTATATTGCATATAGAGTTATAAACTCGTATATTCTTGCAAACATGCAGTTATAAAAGCTTGCACGCACAATAAAACGAAATTTCGTGGAGGGGATAGTATGCATCGTCATCGCCGTTAGACGAGGCGCGCGCTTAGAATGATCGTCAACACATAGGTTTTTCTCGCGTTTTATGTTCGACCATGTATACATGGTACCTCGATCAAGAAAGAAAAAATACGTATCTGCATATATGTAGAAAATCAAATAGAAAATTAACGTAAAGCTCACCTACAAAAAAAAAAATGCAACATAAAATGTATGAAAAATAATCCTAATAATGCTAAGTTATCTAACTATTGGAGAAATAGGAACTCTCTCGCCAACAAACCTATCGTAGTTTTCTACATATAGTCAGAGACCTTAGGAATAGACGAGGAGCGATGGTAAGTAGAGGAGAAGCCTCACCTCTTTTAACACCAGACTCTCCGTTGTGTGGCGCTGAGAACGTCAACTGCGCTTTTTACAAAACGTGATCCACAAAAAGTCGATCTACTGTTTTTGAATTTCGCGCGATAATGAATGAACGAGGTCACGTGGCCTCTTAGAAAGCGGGAATTTTAAATGTGTCGATTTTTTGGTGGTAATTTCAAATGTTAAACTTCAACTACAATATAATCTTTTAGTAAAGTGAAGGATGAGCTTCCTCGAGGGCACCTTATTACCCATCGTGGTTACCGTATCACAATCGACGCGTTGCAACCCCTTTCACGGGTACCGCGATAAAATCGTTACGCTTCCTTTAAGCGGGAACCCGCAGAAAAGCCCGCAACACTCTTCTTTGAAATCACATATGTGAATGTATGTGTGCAATATACATTCACATGTTGGTATATATATATATATATCGCAAGAAATATATGTTCACATGTAATTGAAGAATAAAATCACGAAAATAAAGTAATAAAAGAAAAAGAAAGAGAGAAAGAATAAAAATAAGATATAACCATGAACTTAACCAACTCCACCCCTCTTTTTAATCTTCCTTATTTCCATTTTTTCCGCTTGCAGTTATGCCTCCCTTTGACTATGTGTAACGCACGTGTAACATTCTCGTTTAAATTAATATTAATCTCCATTCGATTAGATAAAAAAAACCAACTAATTTAAATATAGTATAATGTATCTTTCATTATTTAGATTGAAAATGGAAAAAAAATATATATTGCAGAAATTCTAATCGAAAGTCACGTTTATGTATAAAATTAACATTATTGGCATATAATAAAAGTATTCTCTCTCTCTCTTTCTCTCTTCTCCTCTCTTTTGAATAAAGACCGCATATTTTTTCTAGTTTGGAAAAAGGAAAAAGAAAACACAATAATTAGGTAAAAAATGACGCGCATACCATTGGCTTTGAAATCGAGAAGGCACGTTATTTTACCACCGTGCCACCACCGTTTCACCGCAGTCCTGTCGAATTGCTGAGTACCGCTAAGATATGTAATGCATAACGGTGCGATACAAGTTTAAACAATTTTATTGTTATCCGTGTAAGAGAGTTCAATACAAGAGTTACCTCTGTAATTGTCTATTAGTGTTAAAACAAATGACGTATTCATTACAAATAAAAAAAAAAAGAAAGAATAAAAAAAGAAACTTTGATACTGCAAGATTACGCTTCTCATTATGTCCAACCAATAAGACTGATACTTGCAAATAGGCTAGAATAAACTTAACTCGAAAGAAACCTATTAACTTATCTTCTTATCGTGATAATAATAAATTCGAAACTTTCAAAGGCATTAACGATACACGTGCGTATCGAGACCGTTGGGATATTTACATAAGATCATTCATCAAGAATAATGGCGTATATAAAGTACAATTATCAAGGATGTGAAAAAGAAAGAAGAGAATTCATGTGAAATAAAAATAAGTTGCGTGATTTGATATTTTTGTCAAACACCACGTGGTTACTAGTAGGATTACTTTTTCCTTATGCGTAGGTAGACCCGTCCCTTTTTTAAACTCTATAAAAATAACTGCCATAGCTGATATAAATAATATATAAAACCAATTTTAAATGATGAATTATTGAACAAGAAAGGAAATTCTAAATAATGTGAAAGTGTGTGCAACACTACCACGGGATGGTACGCGATTATTGAAATGTGGAGCAAATCTAATCTATTACGACGTGCGTCTTGTACTTTGGTAGGGTAGAAGAACTCGCACGAAGCCATGTCTGATCACCACGCGGTCGCGTATATACTTATATTTCGTATCTATGAAAGATAAGGTGAAATCCCTCTTAGAGATAACCAATGTTCTCGAGAATCGAGACGATGAGAAGTGTCTTCTTATTCTTCATCTCTTTTTTTATACTCTATTTCTATTTATCCGTTTGAATTATTTGAAAAGCATCATTATAAGCCATACGAGCGCGCTGTCTCATAACATTTTAGCAACATTAGGAAAACAAAAATAATTCGAAATTAGAGCAAGAAAAAAGTAAGTTAAAAAAAGTGTATCAAAAACAAATATATTCAAATAAGATTATTTCGAAGAGATAGAAGGGAAAAAAATTAAAGTGTCGAGATTCCCTAGAAGAACCACGCCTTCGATGACAAAATACACGTCCTCGCAACTTTTATAGTAGACGCTATCGAGGGTTTGAACTCACCATCCTAACTAACATTCCCCCTTTCTCCTCCATCTCCTCCACATCCTACTCCTTTATATCAGCGTAGATATATATACACACATATACACACATATACACACATTTACACACTTTTCTCCCTTTCTCCTACGCCCCAGATGTGAATGGTCGTTACACGTTGCAAACACGCGCGATCATCCATTATCCGATTATACAAAATTTGTAATTTCCGATGGTCAAAAAGGAAAATAAAATATAAAAAAGAGAAGGGGGAGAGTCGAAGATAAGGGAGAAAACGAGAGAGAGAGAGAGAGAGAGAGATAGAGAGAGAGAGAGACAGAAAGAGAAAGAGAGAAAAGGAACGGGAGGGACGTAAGACTACATACCTTCTTTCTCAGCTGCCTTTTAGGCTCACTTTTTCATCCGTCCATCACAAATGAACAACACTTTAATTATCGTCGTCGTTATGCACGACATCCTCATATTGGCACATATCACACAAATTTGAATTTTGTTTTCTTTTTTTGTTTTCTGTCCTTTTCTTATCCTTATTTCATCACAACAACAAACGTTCGGGGTATAACTTTCAGAAGATAAGCCAGGAATATGCGCGGTGGTTTAAACGGCACGAAAAGAGACGACCAACGAAGAAGATTCGTAGTCGACTCACCTGTTATGGACGGTGTGGTGATGATATGGTGGTGGTGGTAGTGGTGGTGGTGGTGGTGGTGGTGGTGGTAGTGGTAGTGGTAATGGTGGTAGTGGTAGTGGTGGTAGTGATGGCAGTGGTGGTGGTGGTGGTGGTGGTGGTGATGATGATGATGATGATGGGTGGTGGTGGTAGGGGATATATGAGGAAAACGCTAGAAGGATATAAGAAGATGGACGAATAGTGAGGAAACCGCGTGGCACGATGTTTTTTCTCTTTCTCTTTTAATAAGTAAATGCGTAATTCAGGAAAAGGGTAGTAGCAAATAAGAAATATAAAGAAAGAGATAAAGATAGATGAGAGAAAAATAGAAAGAAAAGCGCGATAACGACGTTCTCCCACGAAGGAAGACTCCAACCACGAGCTGAACAACTAGCGAGCGTGTGTGGCTTAATGAATACTAGAGGGAGGATGGACGGCGGACGGGTGAGCGGGCTCAAAAAAGGGAGGGAGGGCGAAATGACGAAGACGACGACGACGACGACAACACGATCCCACTCGAATCCTTCCGACTCGACACGATTTTATTCGACTTTACTTCGGTAGAATTCGGTACTATCCGTACGGATTCGGTTCCGTTCGGCGGCTCGACTCGAAGAGAGTCGAAGGAAGTCGTAGAGAGAGGCAAGGCTCGCTGGACACCCCAGGGCGTATCGGCGCCTATGGACGGTACTATCTACCAACCGTGCTACACCGTGCGACGCCGTGCGTCCGTGCGTGCATGCGTTCCTGCTGTTCACTGCCTGCTGAGTGTATGTTATGTACTTTTCTCTTTTCCTCTCTCTCTCTTTCGTTTTCTCTGTGTATGTGTTATATGACGGAAGGACGATTGAGGGAGGGAGAAATAGTGATAAGGGGACGAAGAGAACGAGCAGAGGAAAAGATTTACGCAACCCTCTACCGAGTGAAAATCCACGTCAATGCACGTTGCTGTCGATGCGCCTCGATAAGCCACGTAGTACCCTTTCCCTCTCCCTCTCTCTCTCTCTCTTTTTCTTTCTCACGCCCGCCTTGACTCGTTCAATGATCCTTTTCTAAGAAGCGCGAAACTAACCTCTTTTCCGCCCTGTGCTTACGCTCTCTTTTCTTGTCTCTTCCCCGTCTCCTTTTTACCAGAACGCCCTCTCTCTTTTTCTCATTCCTTTCCTCTTTCTCTATCTTTTACATCCCCTTACCCCGCAACAATCTCCTTCATCCAACTACCTCTTTCCTTTCCTCTCAAGATTAACCCTTCGGAGTGGCACGCGCGATCGCGCAAACGAGGAGCGCGCATGCGTATATGTCGAGGAATATAAGAGAGGTTGGCAGAACGAAGGTAAACTCGTAGAATTGTAAGAAAATAGCATCCTGTTCGACTGTGCCATAGAGAAAAAGAGAGAGGAAGAGGGAGAGAGCGAGCGAGCTGGATGAAAAGGGAGGTGGAGGAATGGAATGGTGGAAACTACTTCGAAAAGAAGGAGAGGGGGTAAAAGTAGGGCGAAAAAGGGATGAAGAGGCAAGGAGTCGTCCGATCGTGTCTCGCCCCCTACAAGAAAGATTGGAGAAAGAAAGAGAGTGAAAGAAAAAGAGAAAAAGAGAGCAAAGTATCGATTCGGCTAGGAAGGATTGTCGTCCGATGGCAACGACCCTCTCGATCGTAGCCAAGTCGAAAGCGCGAGTTGATGTATTTTTCAGCATATCGACACCGCCCGGTTATTCCCGATGACACCCGAACGAACGACGATCCGACGTTGGTCGTCGCCGCCGTTGCTGCCGCGGTGGCGTTTCGCTTCTTTTTCGAGGAATCCGTTGTGATTACACGGCTTGCCGTATTCTTAAGGTTCGTAGGAATGCACGCGTCGAACGATGAAGGTACGTCGACTTACCTTGGCATCCTCGAGATGCACTCGATTCGACGACGACGACGACGACGACGGCGGCGATGACGACGACGACGACGACGACGACGGGGTTGAGAGCCTCTCCACCGAGGACGTGCGACTTGGCCCGTGCAGCGCTAGGACGCCATGTCAGCAAGTCGAGGCGCGGACTCGGGGCAGATACGCGCACGACGCGCACACAGGCGCAAGCGCGCGCCCGCGCGTCCACCGATAGGGAGTACCAGCAGGAAGGAGAAAGCCGTACTACAAAGAGAGAGTGAGAGAGAGAGAAAGAAAGAAAGAGAGAGACGGTCCGTCGACCGGACCGACAAATGGACAGAGAGGGAGAAACCCACACACATACCACCTAATCGACCAACCCGGTACGCGCCTCCCGTGCTGGGGAATTCCTGCTGCGCCACCGAACGGCCGTCACGGAACCTCGCCTACGCCCGCATAGCACCACGGCCGTGCCTTCCGTTCTTGGTACCCTTCACTGCTTCTACCTTATCCTCGTCGTCATAATCTTTATAATCCTCGTCCTCTCCGTTCTATTCGTCATTTTTATCATCGTCGTCCTCGTCGTCATAGTCCCTTGGTAGTAGTCGTCATCGTCATACCACTCGAATAACACCCGCCTCCCTCTTGAGCGCCCTCTTTCGAACGACCACCGAAGCCGAACGGACGAAGAGAGATTCATAAAATGAAAGAGAGAGAGAGATTGAGAGAGAGTGAGAGAGAGGTACAGAAGTAGAATTGCTGGATATGCTGCTTCTCTCTCTCTCTCCACCCCACTCCACCCTCTTCGACTCGTCGACGCGACGGAGACGGCCCCTCTATACCCCAGACCTCCAACCCCTCGTCCTCCCTAACCGCTCTCCATCCTTTATCGTGTCTCTCTCCACCGCACCCTCGATGCCTTCGCGCTATCCTGCACGCGCGACTACGCGATCGTCGACCGACCCCTCTTCCAGCACCCACCCTCTCACCTCACGCGGTCTTTCCTCTCTCACGCCACTATTTCCCTCGGCCGTCCCGCTCGACGGACTTGTCTATGTTCTCCTCTTCCTCCCGACTCTATATATGCGTCTTCGCCAACGTCGGCCCCTTTCCTTCGCTCCCTCGCACCCTCGATCGCCCTCCGAAAGGGGCGCTTATTTTCGCCCCTTTGTTCTCACGCTTGTAACCAAACTCCTCCGCTCTTTCGCGCGCTCTCCCCTTCCCTTCTTTCTTCTCCTCTCCTCTCACCTACGTCACCGTACACTCCATTTCATTGCGATATCGTTACCCTTTCGCGGCCTATGTCTTGTAAATCCGACGATTTACTTTTTAAAACGACCGCTATCGTTCGAGCTGACCTAGGATCAGTTTATTCTTTGCAAAATCATTTATCTATAATTATTTCAAACGTTCGAGGTTATGTTCAACGAAGAAGGAGTAACCACATGGTTTTTATCACGCACGTTATCGTTGTACGGTGATATATCGATTAACTTTATCGCTAATTCTTTATTTCTAAGATCATCCAGCAGACATTTGCAATTGTAGGCGAACGTTATTGAAGAATAATCTGTTTTCCATTTAAACTCGATTCACGATCAATCATTCGTTCTGAACGAAATTTGAGCCGTCTCGTTCTACGCTCCGTTTCATCGCGTAGGCATTTATTGTTGGATGACTACGAACATTAGTCAACACAGAGAAATAGGGAAAAAGAGTGAGATGGAAAAGGAAAAAGATAGGTAGAGTCGTCGCTAAATTCAGAACGAAACGTAATCGTTCGAAAAGGGGGCCGATTATCGTGCTATTGAAATTTCTTTTTAAGAGGGGTCGTAACCCTTATCGTCTATTTCGAGAAGACTCTTCTCTCCAATCAGTAGTAAACTTTATACTGATATCCTTTCCTAGGAACTTTTTTGATGATATCTATTATCGCATGAAACAAGATAACAGTAGGGGGCGGGTTAACAAATTTGAAAAAGAAAAAAAAAAGGAAGAAGGAAATGATTTTCCTTTCAAATAAATTTCTATGAAATAAAAGTTGCTAATAGGTGAAACTAATAAAGTAGGAAGATTTTCATTCTGGTAAGGAAGCGTAAAAAAGAGAAACGAGGAGGAAGAGGGGCAAATAGACACGAGAGAGTAGGCGAGCCGCTAGTAGGACGCGCGCGTGCGTACGCACGACACGCGCGTCTGCGCAATGTCCTCTTCGCGGATGCGCTGCTTGCTACCGCATAAGCGAGAAAGAAATAGAGAAACTCTTTTTCGTTTTGAGATCATTTTCTCACTGAAAGACTGAAACGTAGGGTATACAATTACCAACTGCATTCGCGTCTACCGGCGCAAAAGTACGAGAAAGAAGAGAATGAAGTTTATCCCCATTACGAATAGAGCTATAACTAGAAAATAAATTGCTTTTAACTTTTAGAACGACACCTAACGCTCTAAGAGTATTATATAATTGTAATACTATATGAAATATACAATGTAAATCGTCTTAATTTTTTTCTTTTTTTTTATAGATTTTAAAGAGCACGTTTGTGAAAGTATACAACTTTTACCTTTCCTATCAGTCTAGTCTCTAGGTCTTACAAAATAAAATGATTTCCAAAGTTGATAAGGGAAAATTATTAAGCAAGAAATATATTTCATCAATTAGATTATATGAAATATTTTGTAAGTTCGTATATTCATTTAGCACACGTGTAGATTGTGTTCTTTTTTTGTCACTTTACTACTATCTAAATCGTAAACAATATAATTACGAAATGAAGTAATGGAAAATCAAATAGATATAACAGAAAGAGAAAGAAGTTGTTTAATCGTTTCTTATGTTTAAAGTTTTGCCCTTCTCGATAATTCCTCGTTCCTTCTTAATAAATCGGACAAAAGGAACGCGCGAATCAGCTTGATCTCTCCGTTCGCGGGTACTTTGAATCGTACAGTCGTCGTCTTTCCGTCCCGCTTTCTCCTTTTCCATCGACTCGCATGGTCTATCCTCGCTGTTGTATCTTGCGACGGATTCGCCATGTTACTACGTCTGGCGACACCTTGACACCTTTACCCCGACACGCGTGCTCAAATGCGTAGATGAGATTTCGATTATGCTGCACATTTCCATTTTCAATCATTAATCATTCGAAAAATCGATAACATAATAGTAAATTTCTATACGTAATTATAAAAATATGACAAGAAATTAAGGGAAGCTAATGACGCGTATATCTTTCGAAATAAATCCTGAAATTGAGTTTCGGCTGTTTTCGATAAGATTAAATACAGTCATATATTACTTTATTTTATTTTTCTACATTTCAAACTAAATACCCCAAGGTACTTATGCAAGTAAGTTTACGCGATGAATAAAAACTATATAAAGGAAGTAGTATTAACAGCATCGAGGAAGGTGGAAAACGCAGACGGGAATGGCGTGGTGCGTTGTCCAGCGGTTTTCACGAGGGGTAGCCTCTGGTCTCTCCACTGTGGATGAATTCCCGCATATCATTTCGGTCGACTGATAAAAAGACTTGGAAGCTGGCTCGTCGCAATGGACGACGAGGCGTATACGGACAAAAAAGCCGCTGAGAGGGGAAGAGACTCGGAGGTCGGAACACACATACATATATACATACATATAGCATAGACACACATGTAGCACGCAGTAGATACACAAGCGCAGAGAAGGCAAAAGGGGAGGGAGACAGAGGGAAAGAGGAAAAGAGGGAAAGAGGAGGAGGAAGAGGGCGGGAGGAATAGGGGAGGAGGAAGGGGGAGGGGGAGGGAGAGAGAGTGAGCGAGGACGAACCGAGCAAGCAGAGAGCGTAGCTCAAGCTTGGCTGCTAAAGGGGTGTAGAGACGTCGAGAGGGAGACGACGCGCTTGCCGATGGGTGAAGACGGGGCGGAGGGGTGCAGATGTGCACGTAAACGACGTGAATCCGGGTAAAGGGGAGCGTCACCACCATCGCCATCGCCATCGCCATCGCCACCGCCACCGCCACCGCCACTAACGCCGTCCTCGCTGTTCTGCCGTCGCGATGATTTGACTCTTCTGACTCTTTTCTCTTTCTCTCTATTTCTTTCTATCCATCTTTCTCTCTTACTCCCATCATTGTCGCTTGTGTCCTTCGTTTAGTTCTAGCGAGCCTCTAGCGTGCTGATTCTAGCTTGACGCTCGTGCGCGCACTCTAAGAAACTCGATGTGCAGTCGTATGCGCCCACTGCCAGGGCTGTATCGTTTTCCTCTGCAACGAGTGTTCATTTCTCTCTTTATCTCTCTCTCTTCCTCCCTCTCTCTTACTTTTTAATCTATAAGAAAAATAGGTACGTTCCCTGCTACCATCTCTTTGGTGGCAAAAAAAAATAGAAAAGGAAGTCCATCTTGATAACTGTAATGAACAGTTCCCTTTAGTAGAAAATTTATTAGGATGTCGTACGCGTGATCACCTATAAATGATATGGCATTTATAATAGGATTACGTAACAGGGTATCACGGTCATATTTAATTCTAAACTTTCCTGGTTTTTCCTTCCTTAGTAAAGAGCTAACCGTCTTATGTAATGTCGCGTTTACACCTGCATTCTACGAGTGTCTTGTTCTGTGAAATTTTTCTTCCTTTTTTTTTCTTTCGTCTTCTTGCGCTCATACTTTTTTTTGTCTTATCATACGTAAGTTCGTAGAAGTAAGGTTGAAAGAACAAAAAGGATTGGAAGTGTCGCGACGTCGACTCGTGATCCCCGGATCCTCGATGTGGCCCCGAACGGTGGTATCTAGGGAGCTTAGAGATCCAATGGAAGCCAAGTCGCGTAGAAGGGATACTAGAGTAGGAGGTGGCAGTTATGGCGCCTGCCGTTTGCGAGGAAGAAGAAGAGAAGAAGAGAAAAAGAATGAGGAGAAAGAAAGAGAGAGAGAGAGAGAGAGAGAGAGAGAGAGAGAGAGAGAGAGAGAGAGACGGTCGAAGAATACTACACGTGTCGCGGCGGCGGGGTGTTGACCCCAAATAGCTTTTTTAACGTGACGTAACTGAGAAAGGGTTGAGAAATGGCCAAGTGCTTGAGCTCGACGCGAACCGAATGACTTTTCGAACGAACTCTAAGCCAAGCATCTTTGAGAGCTCTTCGTCTTTCCAAATTAAATGATGATACTCCTCTCTCTTCATTCGCATTATTTGATTAATATAAAAAGGGAAACATCCAACGAGTTTTAATCGTTTTATGCTGTAAAATGATCAAAAAAAATCAAGAAAAGATTTTATTAGTATATAATAAATCTTAAAGAGAGTTTTAACACTCGCCCAAATTTTAAAGGAAATATTATCTTTTTTTTACTTTTATATTTTCTTTCGACAAAAAAAAAAAAAAAAGAGGAAACACCAGAAGAGAACCTGTTTCAAATGAACGTTCGATAAACAAAAACGTTATGAGTGTATGTATTAAGTATATACGTTATGGCCTTGTCGGACGAAGAACATAGCGCGATGGATTATATTAATGTTTCAGGCGACCATA